ATACAGGTAATCCTTGATTTATGAGCCCAAAATTTCTGTTGCTAAGCAAGATAGTTAAGTGAGTTTTGCTCAGTTTTACAACCTTTCTTGCCACATTTGTTAAGTAAATCACAGAATAACAGAGTTGGAAGGGACCTTGGAGGTCTTCTAGTCCAATCCCCTACTGAAGCCAGATAAACTGATCATTCCAGACATATGATTGTCCATTCTCTTAAAAACCTCCAGTTTTTCCTCCACAACTTCTCAAGGCAAGTCGTTACACTTGTTAATTGTATCACTGCAGTTATTAAGTTAGTAACATGGTTGTTAAGTGAATCTGGCTTCTCCATTTTGGGACTTTCTGACCTTGCTTGTCAGAAGGTCCCAAAGATGATCACATGACCCCAGGACAATGCAACTGTTATAAATACATGCCAGTTGTCAAACGTCTGAATTTTGATTATGTGACCACAGAGATGCCACAATGGTCATAAGTGTGAAAAACCCATCATAAGTCAATTTTTTCAGTGCTGTTGTAACTTTGAATGGTCACTAAATTAATGGTTGTAAGTTGAGGACTTTCTGTATTGGTGTAGGATTAGTAGGATAGTTGTTTTGTCAGCGCCTTAGTCTGCCATAGAACTTTTGCGTAATGAAACATGAAGCAACAATGAAATAATTTCCCCTTTACAAACTGCAGCCCTACTTTATCTCTCTCTGAAGATTTAGTAATTGCTCAGTTATCTCAAAAGATAGCAATGCTTGTTCTGTTCACTTAGTTCCCAGCACACACATCTTATCTGTACACCATAAAGCCCAGGGCAGAAATGCTGCTTAAAGAAGAGTAACCATCCACTGAAGGATAGTCTCTCTCTCTCTCTTTCCCCTGCTCTTCAGAAATGTCAAGACAGGGTCAGGTGTAATTTAATGGTCATTATGATACCTTAACCAAGACTTTACACTTGTTGTTAAATTAGAGAGCATAATCCAAAAAGGAAAGGAGAGCCAGATAGGAGAGGACATAAAAATTGGGTGTATAATTTTATTTTGCAATTTTTAAAAAGTCAGTCATCTTTCAATTAATTGAAAATATTCTAATTTACCCAGTGTCTAGTAAAACCAATAGGTTCTTTCTCAGAGAAATACAGAACTTGAAGAAAGAGAAGAAATCTCTCTGTGCAACCATATATTGCTGTATTTTTCAAGAGATTAAAAGACACTTTTGGTTCAAATGTTAAAAGCTTTCTTTAATATTATTAATATTATTAATATTATGGTCCTCTATATTATTAGAAGATTATCTGAATGTGCTTCCAGATTAGCAGCTCCCTGTTCCACTAGAAAATTTCAACAGAACAGACAATAAAGCAGAAATGAAATATAATTCTTCATTACAGACATGCTGCTCTACCTCTCACTGAAGATTTAAAGGAAGGGGCGTTAATCACGAAATAGCTATTTTCCCAGGGCATTTGGTTTCTTGTGCACTTTCCTTACTCTTATGAATTTCTAGATAAATCCCACATAGAAAAAAATGATGGAGAAGAAACCAAATTTCATGTAGACAACTATATTGCATTTCCTTGTCTCCTTCTAGATCAAATTCTCAATCCTGATGGTAAGTGGGCAGGAGGAGAGGTTCAGGGCATTTAATTCTCTATGGAAATATAGAGTGAAGTAGAAATGAATGTATTTATTTCATAGTCAGTGCTGCTATTCCCCCTCCAGAGACTTTAAAGCTTATTAGTTAGGGGGAATTTGTTATGTTTCCAAGGCATGACACTACTCCTGTCCTTGTCTGATCTGTATAATGCTGCATAAAGGGAATAGATGGGTCACCTGCCTCACAGATGAAACCCTGAATGTTCCCCATAAAAACTGTCTCCAAATCCTATTAGAAACATGAGGAGCATCCGAGGAAGGGCTGATTCACATGCTTTTTGCATTTCTTCCCCAATATTTAGTCCAGTAATATTGTGAACAATAATATTAATATAGTCTCCTTTTAGTAACAGTACGTATAAACAATTGGACTTTGTTATAAAAGAAAGGAAAGAATAGGGTGGGAAAGAAGAATGGAAACTACCTATATCTGTTCCCAAAGCATTATGCAAAGCAGACACTACAAAATACAACATAACGAACGCACAACACTGCAAGGGATTTTCATTTCTGCCCCAACTTGGAAGAGACAAAAACATATGCTGACTCATTCTATTTACAACTTGGTGTCTTTCTTCATAAATACGATTTAACAAAAGTCCTTGGATTTCTTCTGACTGGTTCATTCTTCTTGAGGAACACCATCTGAGCTGTTGGAGACTCCTTCTATCATTGCATGTATGTATGGTTGTGTGTTTTCCATGGCTTGCTGTTGTATTCCCTCCCTCTGCCATACTTATTTCAGAGAAGCTGTGTGTCTTTTTGCTCCATGATGCCTTCCTTTCCTTTGTGATCTATATTATTTTTATTGTATTTGAATACCAGGAGTTCTCTGGGAAATGGACAGTCAGTTAAAAATGTATTATAATAAAAGGAATAATCATATATAACAACAGGACAAAGATAATATGAAAAGAATATAAAATAATGTACAAACTTTAGAAACCAAATCCTTAAAGCTGCCTAAGAGCCAATAAAAAAAACAGGAACAGCAATAATAAAGGCAGTGAATCATAGTAAGCAGTGTGAGACCTAAGGAAATTTGAACCTCAGTTTGCAGGGATTCTTTTGGATTCCCTGCACTGGTCACCGGTGACTCATCTAAAGGAAAGATGGACTTGGATTGTTCATAAAGCTATTTTTCTGGATGCAGAAATTGAGATTTAGGAGCCGGGGTGTGTGTGTGTTCGGCAAAATATCCTATACAAGAGAGCTAATAGTATGAGGGGTGGGGTACCAGTAAATTGCTGAATTGGTTTGAAAACTTTGGCAAGAAATGTGACTATCTTTACCTGTTTTCTGGTTCAGCTTGATTTTGCTTCTGTAGAATATACAGAATCAGTTGGCTGGGTACTAAAGCCTATCAATCCAGGTTAAAAGCACTTTTGACCATTCTACCCTGTGTTTGCGCTTGTATTATCCAAAGTCACATTCTTATACCTTTTCTATAAACCCAGGGAATTCCTGTTTGATACCTATATACCATGTAAGTAAGCTTGCAAAGACTGAGGACTAAATTATAAGAATTTATATTTGGGATTGGTTTATCTCACTTTTTTAAAATAAAAAACTGTTGTTTGGAAGCAACATAGGAAGGACCAGTTGGGAGCAGTTGCAAAGCAAGGGTAAGAATTCAACATTCTGTTTATCCCAGAGACTTGAGGTTAAGTATAATAGAGCTCTGAGTCTATGCCAAAAAGTCTCATTAAACAATTGGAGAAAATGAACCATAAACAGGGGAGACAAAGGGGAGACAAAAATCACAGAAACAAGAATTGGATTTTTTTTTCTATTATGGAAACAGTTTATAAAAACAGGATTTTGGTCCTATTTATCAAATTTCAATCAATACCAGTCTCATGCAAAAAAAAAGAAAAGAAAGAAAAGAAAAGAAAAATGAAAGATAAGTACATGAGAAGATCTTGCTACTTCTTTAGGCAGTTGTACAGTTTGAAAATGCAGGGCAAGGAATGTTTAACCAAATCCCCCCCCCCAAAAAAGAGGCTGAAAATTTGTGTGCGTCTTATACTCCAAATGTAGCTTTTTCAAAGCTTTTTTTCCAGCCCTAACAAGGCGCTAGCCAAGTGAAGCGATCTCCTCCGTGCTTTGCCTGCTTTTCTCATTGCTGCTTCCTCTCAGCTGTGCCTTAGAAGCTGTTTTTTATCCCCAAGCAGGGGATAAAAACCAACAAACTAATGTGCTGAAGCTCACCAGACTAAGGATGCTAGCAAGATGAATACCTGGTAGGCAGATTTTTTCCCTCCTATTTTCCTCCCCAAAACTAAGCTGCGTCTTATACTCCAGTGCATCTTATACTCTGAAAAATATGATATGCTCATACTAACAGAATACATTAAGTAAAAAAATACCAAGGACTTGCTTTTTACAGTGGATACTAAAAACCATAGGTATTATTTATTTCTAACAAATATTGGTGCAAAATTCTGACTCTTTCTTATTGCCTTTTCATTTGAAGTTCTAATTTTAAAAAACTACCTGAATCTTTCTAAGAGGGCACTCTTATTGAGTTAAAAGAAGAAGCTGAAGGAAGACAATTGTCTTACTCCATCTGCTTGCTTGGAGAGTGTAGAAGCCTTAAGGGAAAAGATCAATATATAAATAGCCTTGAGTTATAATCATTCATTTAGTGACTGTTCGAAGTTACAGCAGCGCTAGAAAAATGGAGATACAACTGGCACTCACACTTACAACCTTGCAGCACAGTCACATGATCAAAATTTGGACACTTGGCAATTGGCAGGTATTTGTCCCAGGCTGATGTGATCTCCATTTGCGACCTTCTCAGGCACTTTCCAACAACCAGTCAATGGGGGAAGCCAGGTTCACTTAACAACAGTGTTATTAATTTAACTACAAGTGATTTTCTTAATAATCATGGTGAAAAAGGTTGTAAAATTGGGTGCAACTTACTTAACAACTGTCTTACTTAACAATGGAATTCTGGTCTCAATTGTGGCAATAAATTGAGGATATGACAAACATGGCAGCAAAACTTTAAGCTGACTTAAACATAGACTGAATTTTTATTTTTATTTTTACAGAGCTACACAAATGTGCCACTGTTGCCTCCTAAATCAAAATGAAGAATTTTCCAAGTGTGTGCATTGATTAAAAATAAATATAGAATCCTGAATGATTTTTCCAGACTTTCACTGGTGGAAATACAACTGTAATCTACTTTGGCAACATATTAATTCTCCAATTTGTTCCACATATGTTAGTTGTACAGGCTGTAGTTATGTGTTGTTTGCTGTGTATTGATTTGATTTGGTCAAATTTATATAATTTTTAAGAATGTGTGAAAGAAAAATATAATGGCTCGTTCCTCCTTGTTGCAGAACAGAATGGCCAAAAGAGTAGCCATCATTGGAGCTGGGGCGAGTGGTCTTACAGCCATTAAATGCTGTTTGGATGAGGGTCTTCAGCCAACATGTTTTGAGAGAAATGAGGATATAGGGGGGCTATGGAGATTCCAGGTATGTTTTCTCATAGGCAATATTGATTGTTCTGTAACTAACCCATCTACCAGCCTCACTAGAATACTTCTTTTTTGTTGTTCCTCAACAACCAAATACAGTAGAACCTCTGGTCACAACCATAATTAATTCCATAACTTTGGTCGCAAACCAATTTGGTCATGACCCAAATTTAATTTTGGAAATTTGGCACTTACAAAAAAAATGGCGCGGAAGGGGAACTGAGCCGCGGAAAAAAAAGTGCTTTTTTGTTGTTGTCGTCAGAAGCGTTCGTGACCAGAGGTTTTACTGTATTCCTTTTTCTCTCAGCAAAGAACTTTTCTTTGAGAATCTCCTACTTTGGACTCTGCTCATTAGGGTGACATTTCTCCTTTTATCTATCAAGGGATACTTAGTTGATTAATTATTAATTATATGGATGGGAAAGAAGAGAAATAAATAGTAAATAAAAATAACTACCTTGTAATACCCAAATATGAGGTAGCTGAGCTACCATTTGATCATCAGTGCAACATCAGTAAAATGAAAAGGAAAAATTGAGGTAAGATTTGTATAGTTGGGGAGCTTTTGACTATTTTACTATTTGTGTTCAGATTGTGTGCATTTTTAACTATTATATTTAGCATGAAAATCAGAAGTTTCAGAAGCTTTCCTGAAGAGAACTTTTTGTGGCCCAAATCTTCTGATTCTACAATTTAAATAAACAGGCTTTCAGCAGCCTCTTCGGATTATTTTAAATTAACAGAATGCTATATGAACAAATGTGTTTCCTTTTTTGTAAATCTGAAGTGCTCTAGAAACAGCCAGCCATACTCTGTCTTTTCGACCAACAGATGGGAACAGAGACAATATGTTGAGTTTTGCTTCTCAGTTTGTGCCAAAATGTGACTCTTTTAGGTATATAGTTATGCATGTGTGCCTCTATGTCTATGTGCATGCATGTAATTCTAAGTCTAAAGGTTTAAGTTTTAGAGGTTTAAGCTTATATGACTAAAGCTTTAAGTTTATATGACTAAGGCACTGTCTTAGCTGCATTCAGCCATTGTGTATGATCTTTTTTTAATGTTTTGGTCATTGACCATGGTTAAATAAATAGTTAATAGTTAAATACATTGGAACTTGATATCTTGTGCTATTTTTTTTTTTCATTTCCAATATGTATATAGTTAGAACGTGTTTTCAAGAAACATAAATTAGACAAGAAATCATAGCGAGGATTCATGGTCAACAATTTAGGCCAAGGCCATATTGATCTGCCTTCAAAATAAATATCTCAAATATCTTGTCTATAAAACCCCTCTTATTAACATGACAAATTTCTTTCAGGAACATGTCACTGAAGGCCACAGCAGCATTTACAAATCATTGACTACAAATAGTTCAAAGGAGTTGATGAGTTTTAGTGATTTTCCTTTTCCCGAGGAATACTCAAACTATGTGCATCATAGTAAAATGATGGAGTACTTTAGGATGTATGCAAAGCAGTTTGATTTGATTAAGTACATACATTTCAAGGTAAGAAACTGAGAATCAAGATTTTGGTGGGAGGATGAATGGACATCTTGGTAGTAAATATAGTTACAAGATACAAAATGCAGAGGTAACTATAAAGAGCCCTTTGAACAGCTATGTCATGTAAAATGGAATTAGCAAAGTGTAATAGTGAAAATTCAAAAGATAAAACTCTAGAAAAATATCATTTTCTAAGAATCAGCTTTTATGAGCGTTTCCACAATTGCTCTTCCCCACAAGACAATAAAACAACGTTCTTCCTCAAGGTGCTGCCTGTAACTCTCTTAGAACTTGCATTTTTAATAGAAATTTTACTAAAGATTATAATTACAACAATAAAAAGATACAAAATAAAAAGAAAGAGTAGAAATTTCAGAAAAAAGGAAAAAGAGAAAGAGAAAACAAAGAAAGATAGGAATATAGTAAACTTTTTTGTAACTCTCTTAGAACTTTGGAACATGTCAGGTACTGGTTTCTATCTGAGCAAGCTCCTGCTAGCCAGGGACTTGGATAATTTTGTCTAATCCTAAATCAGATTTTGGTAAATCCAAGAGAAAAAGACCAAACCTGCATCTTGTATCTAGAGCAGGGATGTCAAACTCACGTCGTCACGGCACTGTCACATGACATATCAGGACTTTTTCCCCCTTTGCGAAACTGGGTGTGGACGTGGCCAGCGCATGACACATTGGGCCCACAGGCCGCGAGTTTGACAGCCCCCCATCTAGAGTTTTCTCTTACCTGTAAACTTACTACAAGAAGTCCCATTTGTAATTATTTATAATTAATAATTAACAAGTAAGTAACAATTCAAGCCATTATCATAGTGCTTTTGCAGAGGGAGTCCTTAAACAGTTTGATCAAATTACTCTTTTCCTGGTCTGAATAGCATCATTTGTTAAAAAGCAAATGGAACACAGCCTTTGTTGTTTTATATAAGCATCTCAATAGCCCAAACCAGATCCTCAATTCACAAATAAACTATTATAACCTGTTCCATTATCCCCAGGATATACTCAAATTAAATCCTTGGGTAATTAACCCCCAGTTTAAGAACTACTGAACCACTATAATTATGTGCAAGGTGACAGACTTGATCAAGCAGGCCAAAAGATACAGATCATTCAGGAGTCACCAAGAGACCTTGTAGTAGATACCGGAGATGGCAGTGACTTTCAGTTTTTGGTTTATTAGATCACCCCAAATATTCATATGCTTGATTCCTAAGGGGCACCTGGTTCCATACTCCATTTGAGTATGTGCATAAAGGTAGCCTCTATTCTAGAACTGATGAAGTCTATAGAGGAATATTAGCAGTGAGAATTAAGCAAGTATATTTCTGGATATTCTGAACCAGCCTTGTTCTCTGTCTTATCTTTACTTCAACTGCTTCACTTATCAGTTGTTTTTTTTAAAAAAAAAAAACCATAAACCTGAATCTAAAAGGAAGTATCTTTTATTTTAAGGCTCAAGTCTGTCATTTAAGGAAACACACAGATTTCCCCATCACTGGACAGTGGGAAATTGTAACAGAAATGAACCAGAGGCAGGAATCAGCTGTCTTTGATGCTGTTCTACTTTGCACAGGCCTCCATGCACAACCTTATTTTCCTCTGAATTCATTTCTAGGTAGGCAATTATGATTTTCTTATAAGCTAATTGAGAATGCTGATTCAAGCAGAACTTGCAAAACAATAATATGTTTCATTCCATTATTCATTAGGCGTAAACTCAGATCTCTTTTAAATTGAGTTCAACACGTGGTGTTTTCCTGGACATATTCACAGAGTTTTGTATTGTCTTCCTGGCTTGGTTTTTCTGATTTTCAATGTATACATATATAAAAATATATATTACATGACATAAAATCTTTTTTTTTAAATTTTGTAGTCTTCAGTAGTGTTTTTTTTCCTACAAACATCTACCATTAGCAATTTCTTACTGTACTTGATACAGTATAACAACTCAAGCTGTATTTTTCTTCTTACCTTGTTTGTTTTATCTAGAGTAATTTCCTCTCACCTTTACTTCTGGCAAAGTGAGCCTGCCAATATCACTTCTTGAGTGAAAAGCAAACTTCATGGTCATTAACTTTCTTGTTTTTGTATCAATATGTCTAATTAGTCTTGAGTCCATATCATTTTTTTTAAAAAAAAGCTACTTTTTTTTCTAGGGGAGGGGTTAGGGCCCTTCATCCACACAGCAACATTGACTTTCTTGTAAGCCAGTTCAATCTTTGTGGTATTCAGTAAAGCATTATTGATTTGACTTAGGGTGCTAATTTTTGACACAAGATAGAGAGGCGGGGAGGGAGGGATTGAATTTAGTATATATTATTTAGGGTTTCTGAATCCAGATTACTACAGCATAGATAGAGTGCCCTTACTAACATTGTATAGTGATAATAAGAATGCAAAAATAGTTGGGCTTTAGTGTATTTCTCATCCCAACCTTGAAACTAATCCCTAGTTATTATTTAAAAGCTACAAGAATCATCGTCATTCTGTCCAATATCTGTGGGTCATTTCTGACAATTGTATGAACAAGTATCGAGAATGGGACTTCTCAGGCAATAATGTGACATTAATAATAATCGAATAAACTAATAATCTAACCATGACAATTCTTCTTAAAGTTCATCTCAAATCCAGCCCCTATGTTGACATTTTTTTCCCAGTCTTCCAACAAAGGTATGCTTTGTTCAGCTTTGCAAAGATGGATCCTTATTTTTTTTTCCAGGTGTTGAGAAATTTAAGGGGGAAATCATTCACAGTTCAGCATATAAGAATCCTGAAAAATACCAGGACCAACAAATCCTCATCATAGGCATGGGAAATTCTGGAATAGAAATTGCTATTGACCTCAGCCATATCACAAAGCAGGTACAGTGTATTTAAACAAGTTTGTTTTGAATCTGATGATAACAGCAGGTAATTTTGTCAGGTTTTGAGCTCAAATACTACCAGGGTTCATTTGTTGCTTGGGGGGCGGAATAGCATTTCAGAGACTAATTCTATCATTTAGTAATACACGTGAATGCATTATTAAATTATTTATTAAATAATGAAATTGTTAGTAATATCTGTGAATGAAAGTTGAATGTTTGTCAGTGAGACTGGAGGGCTTTGCAATACTTTACATCAAATATGCTTTCCTTACTGAAAGATGGTCCTAGTGGCTTGGAAACCAGGGAGAGGAGGAACATCAAAGGTTGAGAACAAGATTCTTCTCTGTCTCTTTTTTTGCTGAACATCCCCCACGTAATTTATTTATTTATTTATTTTCGTCAAGCACGTATTAAATAACAGATATAAGTACGGTATAAACATAACGCTGAATACATGAAATGGATACAAATAAAAAGGAACATTAGGACAGGGATGGTAGGCACACTGGTGTGCTTATGCACACCCCTTAAAGACCTCTTAGGAATGGGGTGAGGTTGACAGTAGACAGTCTCCTTTCCACTCTTAGGAAAATATATTGGCACTCACTGTTGTCCCTTGGGACTGAATGGAAGGAAGAATGGGCTGTTGTGGGTTTTTGTTTTCATTTTTGCCAAAGAAAGGCACACAACACTGAAGAGAAGAACCATGTTCATTGCAATGATCATTGAGTACCTACTTTAAAAGAAAGAGGAACCCTGAACAATGGAAAAGCAAAGATTTTTATAGAGATTGAGGGCTGCAAGGTAGGAAATCCCAGGGATCTGATTTGCTGGCTAGTTTTGGATAGCTAGGCAGGCCCTTGTTGGTACTTGGGATTACTGCTATTAGGCAAAATGGGTCTTTCAGAAGGTCAGCAGAGCTGAGGAACTTCATTGTGAAGGAGAATTGGGGTTTCTCTAGGTTGCACGTTCTTTTAAAGGGTTGCCCTTGGGCCATACTGTGAGCTGGGAAGGAAGCTGCTATTCTTTGGTCTAGATGGGATTATAGGGACCTTGGTCTGAAGTAGGGAGGTCATTTTGGTTCTGATGGGATTAGGCAAAGAGAAGAACTGAGTATGACCTTGGTTATTTCCAAAAGATGGCGGGAAAGGGGTTCAGTCTCCATTTTGTTCGCTAAGTTTATGTTTTGTATTACAAGGCTGGGGAAGGAGTTATGATTTCCCTTTCTCCTTCCCCAGGTCTTTCTGAGTACTAGAACTGGTGCTTGGGTGATCAACCGAGTCTCTGATGGTGGGTATCCTTTTGATGTAGTGCATTTTACACATTTCAAAAATCTCCTTTTCCATAAACTTCCTGTGGCGCTGATAAACCAATGGGGAGAGAAGAAGCTGAATATGAAATTTAACCATGAGAACTATGGTGTAAAGCCCCAGCACAGGTAAGGGTGGAATTTCTCCATACTGACACTTAGGAAGACATGGAATATACACATTAAAGTAAATATTAACTCCATTTTAGGAGCAAATTAAAAGTGGAGAAACAGTAGTAGTCTCAGCTCTGGATCTTAGAAATATCCTACAGCTCCTGTAGCATCTGCAATGTCCCCATTCCCACATATATTTAAATATTTAGTTATAGCCTCAAAGATTAGAAACATTTTTTAAAAAAATTGAAACCTGACATTCTGGTTTCTGTACCTAATTCTGTATCTTGTGACTTTTCTTCATTCATAATTATTTTTTTTTACCTTTACACCTTTTACAAAAAAGCTGAAAGCCTGCATAGAAATTACTCTGCCAATTTCAGCTCTTCTGATTCTAGCTGTGGTGGTTATGAAGATAAAGGTGATGTTATCCAAAGGTTCCCTTCCAGGGTCTCTAAACTGAAGCTCCATTTTCTGCCGTTTCATTATTTTGCTGTAAAATATATTCCCAAAATGTGGCATTGCATACAGAAAAGAAGTCAACAAGAATGTAAAAACAGAAAACAATTCGACAAAACTGTTATAAAAATGCAAAGTCAGTAAATAGTATACTTTATACTTTGTATAAATACATGGGTAAAGAGAATACATCACCATACACTGAATTACACCTCTGACATAAATGAGCTTTTCTTTACCAAGGCTGTGCTTTCTTGGCCTGTTTGAAAAACATCTAAGATGATCATTTACAGTATCTTATTAACCCCCCTTTTTTTCAAATGGTCATTTAAGGTTAATAAGCACATGTTCTGGAGTAAAATATGACCAGTGTGGTTTTTTTTCCTTTATTTTGCAGGTTCCTAAGTAAGAGCCCAATTATGGGCGATGATCTACCAAATGCTATAATTGCTGGCAGGGTGCTAATGAAACCACATGTGAAGAAGTTCACTGAAAGAGGTGTGATCTTTGAAGATGGTAGTACAGAAGAAAATATTGATGTGGTAATATTTGCTACAGGATACAAGTTCTCCTTTCCCTACACTCAGGACACTATCCTCAGGACCCAAACAAATCAACTCTCACTATATAAATATGTTTTCCCACCACACTTGGAAAAGCACACATTAGCTGTGATTGGCTTCATCAAACCTATAGGAGCCACTATGCCTATATCTGAGCTCCAAGTTCGCTGGGCCACAAGAATCTTCAAAGGTAAGAGAGAAAAAAAATAAAAAAATGATTGCTGTTTTGCTTGGTTTGAAGGTTGCACTGCTGGTTAATATAATCAACTCCCTCTTTTGTATAAGAACAAGAAAGCCATGTAATATATCTTTGTGTGTCCATGAAGGTAATCTTCAGCTGTACTAAATGTTTGCATGTAACCAATTGTATTGGTGTACATGACCAACACAGAGGTAAGGAACTATGATCCTTTTATGACTTGTGGATTTCAACTCCCAGAATTCCTGAGCCAGCCACGTTGGCTCAGGAATTCTGGGGCTGAAGTTCACAGGTCATAAAAGAGTCATAGTTCCCCACCTCTGATGTAACATAATATATGTAGACAGCAAAAAGACTAACAAGGAAACTTCTTGGAATTATCCCCGTCATAATGTTATCATTGTTCATCCAATCCAGTAAGTAGTTTGATGTAGTAGTGAAGGTGCTAGTCTAGAAACCAGGAGAATGTGAATTCTAGGATTCCTATAGCATGAAAACCAGTTGTCAATCATTCCACTCAGTCTCTAGTGAAGAAAGACTCGTGACCATTTGCTTTGCCAAGAATATACTTTACTGAAGCTGAAATGGTTACAGAAGTAGTGTAAGCTGAATCGGAGTTTTTCCTGTGCAAATAACACAAAGGAAAGTTCCCTTCCCCCCCCCCCCCCCACCCAGGCCATCCCCCAGTTATCAGCAAATGTCCCCTCAGCTGCTTGTACATTGTTCAGGAAACAGGTGCTCAGTTCCCAGCTCTGTTTCCAACAACAGTTGTGAGGAAAAGAGGAAGCAAGAATATTAGGTATACTTACCATCTTGAGTTCACCAAAATATATAAAAGGTAGGAAATAATAATAACAACAACAACAACAACAACAACAATAACAACAACAACAATAATAATAACAATAATAAAGTTCAGTTGACTGAGTTTCATGTTTAATGAATAAAGTATATAACAACAACAACAATGATGATGATGAATAGCCATTTGCAAGAGACAGGTCTACATGAAGCAGCTTACATTCTGCAACAATACCTGTAACACCATAAAATAATCCATATTTTGAAAAAAAAATCCCTATAATGCTTTCATGTTAGATCATGTAACAGTATAACAGAGTTGGAAGGGGCTTGGAGGTCTTCTAGTCCAACCTATTGCTCAAGCAGGAGACCCTATAGTAGTTTAGACAAATGGTTCTTCTTAAAAGCCTCCAGTGTTGGAGCACCCACTTCTGAATGCAAGCTTTTCCATTGGTTGATTGCTCTTACTGTTAGAAAATTTCTCTTTAGTGCTATGTCTTCTATGTACCACAGAAAGGCATAATTCATTTTTCAAAGGGAGAATTTTTCATAATTAACATTTCATTTTGATACTTGAGAATCATTTTATAAGACTCAATAACCAAGGAAGAATTACAGTATACAAATGAAACATAAGTGAAACTCTACCAAAATTATTCTGCAATTTCAAATAAGGTCATTTCATATATATTTTTAGAAAAGTTATTTCTCCTAGCCCTGGTGCACTGCAAATGGCCCCAGGACCCATCACACCTGGCATTAAGTAAAAAAACCAACAAACTACTGGGTGGTTTGTGTTATGTCCTTATAAGGACACCCGCCGGTGATTGGCTAATCCACCGGTGGGAGATTTAAACAGCTGTCATTGAGCGGCTGAGCCTGCCAGAGTGTATAAAAAGAGCCCCGGCAGCACAGCCGCTCGTTCTTATTCTTGAGCTGAATAAAGGTTCTGAATGGACCACTGCTGGTCGCGTCTTTCTTTCCCTGCACCAATCTAACACTGGTGACGAAGGATTCAAAGAACCAAGCGACCAACCTCGTGGCACGGAGCCAACTAAGAAGAGCTAGTCACTAGAGCTGAAGTCACACTATTGAAGCCACCAGCAACATGGCATCACAAGAAACCGCGTTGCTGACCCTCACCCCTTTCCGGCCAGGAAGGGAGAAGTGGACATCCTACATGACCCAGTTTCGCCAGTTCCTGAGAGGCAACAACATCAAGGACATAGACGATGACCGGAGAAGAGGACTGTTCCTGGCCCACTGTGGCACTGAAGTCCTGGAGATGGCCGTTGACCTTGTGGCGCCAAGGGACATCGAGGAGATGCCGTGGGCTGACCTGCAACAAATCTTGCAGGATCACTACGCACTGACGGGAACGCTGGTTGCAAATCGTTTCACCTTCCACCAGAGAGACCAGAAAGAAGGTGAATCGATCAAAGAATTCGTGGCCGCCCTATGCCAAATAGCTGCCAACTGCGAATTCGACAATGTGGACAATGCAATCAGCGACCACATTGTTTTTGGCATGAGGGACAGAGCCTTGCAGAAGAAATTTTTGAGCAGGAAAAAGTTGGTGCTCAAAGATGTCGTGGAGGAAGCCACAGCTGCCGAAACATCTGAGAAAGCGGCAGCCGCGATGTTAAGGGCCAAAGGGATCCACAAGATCCACAAACCACCCCTATCCTCCACAGAAGAATCGGCAGCTGGATCGGAGTCAGAGGAGGAGATGGCCATTCACAAAGTCTCCAGATCCCCGAGGCGGGAAACCACTCAACATGGCGACCGGGGGGAGTGTTGCGCCAGCTGCAGAGGGGACCATGCCAGGGCTAAATGCAGATGGAGGATGCGACCTGCAGACGCTGCAACAAGAGGGGTCACATCACCGAAGCCTGAAGAGCCGAGGATCCAGCTCCAGAACTGTCCAGCCATCGCCCACGCGAAAATTGCGAAGACTACACGAGATCATGTAGACGGTCCTCCTACCAACCCAGACGCGGAGAAAGCGACGGCAACTGGAGGAGAGCAGTCCATCAGACAACCATTGACTTCTCAGACGACGACGACACCGCCACCAAGTGCCACGTGACCGTGCATGTGGAAGGGACACCATGCTCCATGGAGGTAGACTCGGGCTCGATCTACTCCATCATGGACTGGTGACAGCTAAAGCGCCTCAAGCCTGGGGTCTGCAAAAAGGACCTGAAGCCTCTATGGTCAAGACTGGTCGACTTGGAGGAAATCCGATCGGAGTCCTAGGGAGAACGTCGCTCCAGATTTCCTACCGCGAGTTCCAAGGCACCCTCCCCATCACCATTGTGGAACACAGCCGCCCGAACCTACTAGGCATGGAGTGGTTCAAGCCAGTAGGGCTTGAAATCAAAGGGGCCAATCAAATTCGGAAGGACAAACTCGACACCCTCCTCGAAGAGTTCAAGGAAGTCTTTGACGGTAAGCTGGGGAAATTTGTGGGGAAGCCCATTTCCTTCAATTTAGATAAGTCAATTACACCAATTAGGCTTAAGCCCCGCAGAGTTCCGTTTGCCTTGAGGCCGAAAGTAGATGCTCAGCTAGATAAGCTGATAGCCCAAGGCGTACTGGAGCCAATCGATCATGCGACATGGGAGACCCCCATTGTGACTCCCATGAAGCATGATGGATCTGTGCGCATCTGTGCTGACTACAAGTGTTTGATCAACAAGGCTTTGCAACAGAGCGCATACCCAGTCCCAGTGGTGCAACATCTGCTGCACTAACTTGGGAGTGGGACAATATTTGCTAAACTGGACCTGGCCCAGGTTTACCAGCAACTGCCAGTAGACGAAAAAACAGCGGAGGCTCAGACTATTGTCACCCACAGGGGTGCTTTTAAGTGCAACTGCCTCCAATTTGGAGTCAGTGCAGCCCCAGGAATCTTCCAATCTATGTTGGAACGCCTTCTCCAAGGCATTCCAGGGGTAGTGCCATACTTTGATGATGTCTTAATCTCCGGGCACTCTAAAACCCAGCTGCTTGAGCGATTGAAGCAACTTCTCCAGCGCTTCAAGGAGAAGGGTTTGAGAGTCAGGAGAGATAAGTGCATCATTGGGGTCCAGGAGGTCGAGTTCCTGGGCTATCTCATAGATGGCACTGGCATACACCCCACTAAATCCAAGGTCAAAGCTATCCACGAAGCTCCAGCCCCCAAAAACAAAGCGGAGCTTCAGGCCTTCTTGGGACTACTGAATTTTTACAGTGTCTTTTTTAAAACAGAAGGCCACAGCTGCTGAGCCACTCCATCGCCTGTTGGGGAAAGTGGTACTGTGGAGATGGGGGAAAGAAGAGGAAACAGCCTTCAAAACCATCAAAGGGCTACTTTCCTAGGACAGCGTGCTCATTCAATATCATGAGACGCTACCACTACTGCTGACCTGTGATGCCTCACCATATGGAATTGGAGCAGTCCTAAGCCACCAACTCCCAGATGGCTCAGAAGCTCCAATCGCATACTTCTCGAAGACGATGTCCAGCACCAAGAGGAACTATAGCCAGCTGGACAAGGAAGCCTTGGCCATTGTGGCTGGCATCAAGCGCTTCCACGAATATCTGTATGGCAGGACTTTCACGGTCATCACGGACCATAAGCCACTGTTGGGACTATTGGCGGGGGACAAACCCACCCCGACATTCATGTCGCCCAGAATGACACGTTGGGCAATCTTCTTGGCCGGCTATGACTACAGGCTGATCCACAAACCCGGGACATCCATAGGGAATGCAGACGCGCTAAGCAGGTGCCCCTCTAAAGACCCTGTAGAGGACCCTGCACCCACGCTCAGCCTCCTCCACATCGATGCCAACAGAGACTGTCCAGTTACATCAGCTGACGTGGCAGCCCACACCCAGAGGGACCCCATCCTCAAACAGGTCACCTCCTGGGTCCTGCGAGGCTGGCCAACTGAAAAACCGGCAGAAAAATTCAGCCCATTCACACGGAAGCAAAAGGAGCTGTCCACGATGAAAGGCTGCCTTCTATGGGGAGACCAAGTGCTGATTCCCAGCTCCCTACAACGAAAGACATTGGAAACGCTCCACAATGGACACCCTGGCATCGTGCGGATGAAAGGACTGGCATGGAGTTACGTCTGGTGGCCATCCCTGGACAAAGACATCGAAGAATGGGTCGCCAGATGTGATCCGTGCCAAGAGGTACGCCCAGCCCCAGCCCAAGCCCAATCGTCGGAATGGGAGACACCTAGCAGCCCCTGGGCAAGGGTACACATTGACTTTCGCGGGTCCAATGCAAGGGCAGTACCTCCTGATAGTGGTGGACGCATTCTCCAAGTGGCTGGAGGTCATCCCCATGGCATCTACCACGTCCGAAGCCACCATCAGGGCGCTCCGGCGCCTATTCGCAATGCACGGGCTGCCAGATGTCCTGGTCTCTGACAACGGGCCTCAACTCACATCCAAGACCATGGAGGAGTTCCTGGCCGGACGGGGCATCCGCCATGCCCTCTCGGCACCCTACAGGCCAGCTGGCAACGGGCAGGCTGAAAGAATGGTGAGACTTACCAAGGAAGCGCTCACCAAGATGGCAGGAAAGAATAGACAACTTCCTCCTCACCCAGCACATCACGCCGCATGCCACCACCCGAAAAAGCCCAGCTGAACTGTTGATGGACAGGTGGCTGAGGTCACCTTTGGACCGGCTACACCCCCAGTACAACCCAGAGGTGACAGCAACGGCCAGCCACCCGCTTCGCGCTTTCGCCATAGGGGACCCGGTGTTTGCACTAAACTTCCACGGCTCTCCGAAGTGGCTGAAGGGGAGAATAGAGAGCACAACCGGCCCGAAGTCCTACCGAGTAGAGCTGGAAGATGGACAGGTCTGTACACATCACATCGACCAGCTCCGGAAAAGGTGGAGGGAGACGGGTCGAAACCAACCCGACGAGGCAGGCCTACAACACCCCGAAGAGGTAGGCCTGCAACAACCCGGCGAGGTAGGCCTACCACACCCCGACGAGGTGGGCCTGCCACAACCCTACGAGGTAGGCCTGCCTCAACCCTGCAGGGTAGGCCTGCCACAACCCTACGAGGTAGGCCCACCAACCCCGGACGAGGTAGACCTGCACCACCACAGCGAGGCGAGCCATCGACAATCGAGGGAAGTAGACCGGTACCCGCAGCCCGAGGGGAGTCAGCACCGCGCCGACCAGGGGTCCAGCTGTCACCCCAGCGAGGGAGACCTCCACCTCGACAACAAGGTAGACCGGGACCAACCCAGGGAGGGAGAGCCACACCCCCCCTGCGAGGTCGACTCACAACACCCGGTGAGGGAGACCGGAGCCACAGCAGGGTAGACCGGGGACAAAGCAAGGAGGGAGGCTCACAACGCCCTGGCAAGGCCAGCTTACGACCACCCGGTGAGGGAGACCACCACCACCCTGGCGAGGTCGATCCGCACGGACCCGACAAGGTAGACGGGAGACACCCCGGCGGGGTCGGCCACCCACCGCAACAAGCCGGCATGCAGAATGAGAAACAACAACAACAACAACAACAACAGAAACAGCAACGACCCAACATCAGCAGAAACTGCAAAAGTTAAAAGAAGCACCAATGGACTTACTGGACATCAGTTGGCACCCACCGATCGACAGCGATGTCCAGCCATGAGGTTCCAGAGATTCCGGTCAGGGAAAGGACCCGAGCCACCAGCAGGTAACTCCAGATGTTGCGGCCGGAGGTGCTGGGACAGGGCCTGCACACTCGACGGCCGGACTCCGGTCCACCCCGGATCAGGAGCCGGAGAGGACAGAAGCCCCACCTGCCCAGGTCGGCGGCGAAGCACAGTGTGAACTGCACAGGTCATCCAGGACCACCAGGCGTCCCGCCTACCTGCGTGACTACGTATCATTGATTGACTGTGATGGACGTTTCTCAGACTAGGAGGGGAGGAGTGTTATGTCCTTATAAGGACACCCACCGGTGATTGGCTAATCCACCGGTGGGAGATTTAAACAGCTGTCATTGAGCGGCTGAGCCTGCCAGAGGGTATAAAAAGAGCCCCGGCAGCACAGCCGCTCGTTCTTATTCTTGAGCTGAATAAAGGTTCTGAATGGACCACTGCTGGTCGCTTCTTTCTTTCCCTGCGCCGATCTAACAGTTGGTCTGAAAAATACTTCTGGCTGAGCTCTTGTAAAGTTGCCAGTAGACAGATAGACTGGACATAATTAACCAATGGTCATAACTTGCTTTGTTTAATTCTCTTGGATCAAAGGGATTAAACTCTCAGATTATAGTATTGTGTGTGAGGTATTTATTGTTTGAATAGAAACAAAATTTACCTTTTTTGCAGCCAGAACACTTTTATATTTGAATAAAGAAATGTAAAATTAATGAATGTGATTTCAAGCCATAAGGAAATATATTGACATCTGATTGAAATGGATGGGAGCTATATGGGAGTGTTTTAGTTTATATGATGCCCATGATAATCTGAGGCATAGTTTATACTGAAGTAGTAAAGTTAACTATTGTGTTGAACCACTTCCGGTATTCAGTTCAACAGAAAGCTGAGATATACAGAAAATCTATTTCATGCTAATTAGCCAGTCCTGAGCTAGTTCATCTTTCAAACAAAACTGGTATTTTGAAGCCAGGAGGCTAAGTGCAGTGGTTCTAAATTATCAAGGAATATGTTGGCATGCATTGTTGTATACCTATGCAGAAGCAATCCATCATTGTTCTAAGTGGTTGAATACCCCAGGAAGTCTGCGTTGGATTGCAGTTTTAATACTGGGTAAGGCTATAAGATTTGATCTGCAAACATCTACATCACAGCAGCAAGTATAGAAAACCAATGTTTCCAGCATCACCTTCTCCATCATCCTACTACTTTGGTTTCTTTTTGGAGGTCAGGAGTAGCTACATTCCTTCTTCAGAAAATTCTCCTAGTGCTTTGCTATATAACCACAACACTTTATTGAATAATAACCATACCTTTATTGAAATACTCTCATTTCCAACATCTCTATGCACGTAATGAACACAGTTACAGTCTGTTCTGTCCTCATTACATGTTAGTCTGTGTGTAGCTCGACATGCAGCTAAACCCACCTATCCTCCAATAAAATAAACCGTGTGCATAGATCTGAATGCTTTATTGAAAGAACAGGATATGGTGAAACTGGGGAAAATAGGGATACATACAATGAGAACCAAATACAAGATAGATAGTATTGATTTACTGCTGAATATAACAATTAATAAATACAAGCAATTTAAATCTCACCAGCCATGCTCTGTGTGTGGGATGGGGGTTTGTCCTTGGATGAACATGTGCCACAGATTAAGATGGATTCTTCTTTGTGCTTTTGCCTTCTCCAAATGCTAAAGGAAATGGAGCCTGGTTTCCCAGCGTGCACTTGTTTTGATGAAGGGTGGATGGGTAAAGGAGTGGGGTCAGCTTCAAACAATATACTTGATATTTGTCCCTCCACCCACTAGATGGGGCTAGAGAGCAACAACAGTGTATAAAAGTTATATGCTGGGGCATGAAACAGTCTACTTCAGTTTCTCTGTTCAGTCCAAAATATGTTCTGTATATCTGCATTACCTATCTGCAGACTGTTCTGCATTTCTCAGGCTACAGGGGGCACCAGAAGATTAAACTGATGTTGTTTTTCAGGCCTGAGCAAGTTACCTTCAGAAAATGACATGATGACTGATATTGTTAAGAAGACCAAATACAATGAAAAATGGTAGGAAATCAACCATGTACATATAATGTTCTTATTTCTACAAAATGTTGGAATTGAAAATATTCTGGTCTTGTATATAAAATGCCTGTGTGAATAAAATTAAAAATTACAATCACAAACTCACCCATAGGATACAAACTTAGTAAAGCTACATATTAAACTTATTTTATAAGTTTATATTTATATTTTATAAACTTTTTACTGCTTGCCGAAAGGGATGGGACATAGTTTGGGTTAGATTATATTATATTTTAATTTTATTTATTTATTAATGAAATTTATATGGCTATCCAGCTCACCAAAGGCAACTCTAATTAGATTAGATTAGCAAATATGTGTGTGTGTCACATGTCCTAAAATTAAAAGCATCCGAATTCTATTGTAACCCTATAATCTATTATCAGCCATAGCCTAGCATTAGAGAACAAAAACTGTGAAGTTTACAATTAATAAATGATCTACTTCTAGACTATAAAATATAGACAATAATTAAAGTATTAGTATTACTATCACAAGTCTTTGATATTTTACAATAGTAACATTAACGCTACAGACAATAAAAGAAAGATGAAACGTATCATATAGAACAAAGATTTTAACATGTTAATTGGTGTGTAGAACAAGAAACCACTTACCACTGCAGCTCAACTAGAATGCTAAATATGTGGCTGTAATATATTGGTAGAGGGGGAAGAAAGAGGAAGCAAGATCTCAGGCAGGAATTGGGTTGGACTAGAAGACCTCCAAGAGCTCTTCTAATCCTACAATTCTATGATTTTATGATTCTATGATCTGGTCTTCAACAGGCTAACTTATCTTTTGCTCTTAGGTATACAGCTAGTCACATCAATTCCTTAATAGTGCAGTATATTGATTACATGGATGAACTGGCTTCCATATTAGGAGTGAAGCCCAAGGTGCTGAGTCTTCTTCTGACCGATCCAAAGCTGGCCTGGGAAGTATATTTTGGACCTTGTTCAGCTACTCAGTTTCGCCTGACCGGTCCTGGAAAGTGGGAGGGAGCCAGAAACACCATCTTGACCCAGAGAGAAAGGATTATCAAGCCTACAAAGACACGACCTCTGCAGTCTTCTACCAACACTAAAGTAACTCTGGTTTCTTCTTTCTTCATTAAAGCACTCATCTGTTTGGGACTTCTTACTATTGTCTTAACTTATCTGTAATTTGAACTTGCAGCAGTCTGAAAACTGCTTCTTCTCCTACAAATGAACTTGTTTTGAGTGGTATTTTCCCTACATGATAGAAGAATTATAAACAGTATATATCTATGATCTGAAAGGTTGCCTTGTTTTCTACTTCTTGTATCTGGTACATATTAGTTATGGCAAACCAGGACATTATCCCTGATAAATGTGATTTGACTTGCAAGCTGAGTATAATCTAGAGCAGTGGTTCCCAACGTGGGGCCCACGCCCCACAGGGGGGCAATTTGATTTTTAATGGGGGCAATTTGAATCTTGTTTAAACCAAGTTAATGCCCTTTTAGGCTTCCTCCGTGTGAGTAGAGTTCTCTTTTTGAGTAAAGTAAGAATTATATCAGAATTTTAGAGATGCTTAGGTGGGGCATGGCCAAAAAAAGGTTGGGAACCACTGATCTAGAGTATATCTGCATATAGGGCAGAGTTTGGCTATTTCAACCTGAAATTCCAAATTACCAATATTTATGCGGAATGTCTTTTGTAGGTTACATTATTTCTAATATTTCAATAATGGCACTTTAAAAATTGGAACATAATTGAATATAAAGAATTTCCACATTTGTTTCATGTTTTACATCCTACACTTCTGCATCATTAATATCTCTACAGCTTGTACTTTTTCTAATAACTAATGTCTTACATATGAATATCTACTTTTACACCACTGTCCTTTGTCTTGCGCCCTCTCTAGTTCTCTAAACTCTAATTCAGTGGAATTAGAAATTTCTGAATTTCAGGAAAAAAAGTGAATTTCAGGCAATAATAGATTTCAGGCCAAACAATTACTACAAAAAAAGGTCCACATTTGATGACTCTGTCTAGAAAATATTTATACATTTTACTGTACATAGAGTCTTCATACTTTTTGGTGCATTTTGTGTACATTTTACACATATAAAATGTTCACCACTATGAGTTGTTTATAAAAACAAAAGACCCACAATATAAATAAATAAATTTTAGAAATCCTATTTGTTAGTTAATATTCTTTTCTTATGGATTCCCCTTGCATCCTATTAGTCTATTAAACTGAGAGTTTGCTATTTCGTAAATCAGTGATAGGCTAAATTGATGGTATTGGTGGGAAGATTTTACTTTCTGAGATCAACGTCTGAATAATTTAGGTGTGAATAAAGAGAATGGCTTTGAAGGATAGAGGGAAGATTCTTTACCCAGGCAATAATCAGATAAATGAAACTCGAGCCCAAGCCAATAAAGTATTTTGTGAAAATGCCTCAGACACCTCCACCCCAAATTCTCATGAAGATGAAGGATGGAAGAAAAGAACTATATTCAGATTTGCAAGACTATATTTCAATAGCTGTTCTAATAAAAGTAATTTTAGGTATGCATTGTATGTTTTTTAGTTTGTCTAAATTAGACAAATAATTTAGTTTGTCTAAATTATAGGGATGACATTAGATCATGAATGGATCTAACCCTCAGATGGGTTGCATTTCACAAGGATTAATAAAATATGTTTAGCCAAAATGTAATCAGTTTGATTTACAGGTGCACTCTAGGATGCCCTCTGCTCTCTAGGCACCTTTGTACCCCCATACAAAGGTGCCTGGAGGGCAGAGGGCATCCTAGATATGATAAGGGTGGTGGTAGTTTCCTGTACCAGTGCTTGTTAATACGACATTGAAAAGGAAATGCTAATATAGGTCTTGAAGGTTAGACAAGTGATACCAATGAAGTTTTGTTCTGGTGCCTAGAGTCAGTAAGGGCCTGGGTGAGAAGAAAAATAATTAAAATTGTAGTTGGACAGAATTATTGTTTGTCTATTGGGTTTCCTTACCCTGAGGCAATAGTACCTCAGCTTGACTCAGGATCCTTCTAGAACAACATGTAGAAGCTGTGGCTAGAAAGCCTTTGCCCAGTTTTATCTGGTGTGCCAGTTGCAGCACTACTTGGTGGGAAGACTTACTGTAGTGGCTCCTGCCCTCATCACCACTTGCTTAGACTATTGTAATGCATTCTACATGGGCTGCCTTTAAAATCCATTGACATAGCTGATTGAATGCCAATTGTACCTATTGTACCAACAATGGTACCTATGTACCAATTGTTGTTCACTCAAAGAAGCATGGCCCACAGTTTTTTAGGCCCTATACTATTTACTAATAGGCCACCATCTGCAATTTAAAGTACTGGTGCTAACTATCAACCCCCATATGCCTTGGTCCCTAAGACAAAATTGTTAGCAATCTTCCTTTTTAGCAGGTAATAGCAAATGGGTTTCTAGTAGACAGCCAGTAGACTTCCACCCTGATTGTCTTCTGGAACCTGCAAAACAGAACTTTTCTGGAGGCCATTTGGCCCTTGCTATAACTTTGGTTGGTTTATTGTTTGGTTTGTTAATTTTAATTTCATTCTGTTTTCATTCATTGTCTTTTAGGGGTTTTCTGTGTGGTGAGGCTTCCTCATCCACCCAATTTTGCCTTTACAACAGCCATGACATGCCTGCTTAAGAACTGCAAAACTGTTAGTGTATCAGAGGGATTCATTAGAAGCCACTGAAGGAGCAAAAATCAAGGCTAATGGTCACCAACCACTAGTTAATGAGTGTCAAGAGTGAGTTGCTCTTTCACCTAGTCACTTTTTCGCTCCAGCTTGATAACCGTTGGGAGGGGTATGGTTGGAATGTCTGGGGTGGAATGGAATGCCAAGATTCCATCTGCAGATTGTGAGACCCTGCTGCCACCCTCCAAGGTCACACCACACAGGTGTTTGAAAGATGCAGGCTGTTCTCATAACAAAAGGAGCATATTCAATTGAACAACACAATGAACTGAGGGGGATGGCCAAAGGGAAAAGTCAAGGTTAACAGTCAGAGCTGGTTTTGCTTCTTCTGTCCCAATGTAGTGTATCTAATAAAGTTTTACTATTTGGGGAAGAATAATGTCCCAGATTATTAGATTTGGATTCGCTGGCTGGATAACTGACATTAAACTAGCTCTGCTGCCTACCTGGACTCCTCCAGGAGAGCTGCGATATCAAGATGTTGGCAGCTGACAAGACGACGGATGGCGGGGTGAAAAAAGCCCCCCTCTGATTTATTTTTATTTTTATTAATTTTGTCGCATTTCTATGCTGCCCAACTCCCAAGGGACTCTGGGCGGCTACCAACAGTGGCCCAAGCTGGAGCAGCCACCCGTGCATGGTGGAGGGGTGGCATCGGGAGCCCCTTGCCCTGGGGAAGGCAGCAGGGACAGAGTTCTCACTGGTTCCACCAGGAGTTATGGTGATCCAGGTTAGCAAGTGGAAGGCCAGGAGAGCAGCTGAGTGGGAAGAACTGATGGGGTGGGGGTTCCCGATTGCAACCCACAGCCCCTCAATGGAACAGCTCAGAGAGAAATTTGATGGGTTAAAGGTCCGGGAGGGGGGGAGTTTACACTGAGGTCAGCATTGACGGGAGCTGGAATGAGGTCTGCCAAGCTTCTGGCTGCCCTGTCCCCTCCCCTCTGCTGCAGCCAATGGTGTCGAGCTGACTGGAGTGACAAGACCCATGCAGCAAGGGCCAGTGGCAGCCCCCCCTCCAGCAGGTCTGAGGCAAATCCCTCTGCCCCCTGTGGTGATAGAAGTCCCCACACAGGTTGCCCCACCCCACAGGTTGTGGGGCTGCCACCAGGCTATGTACTGGTGTAGCAGGACCGGGAACCTTCCCCACTGAAGGCAAAATTTGACAGCCAGCTCGAAAAGCTAGCCTGTTTCCTGACTCAGGTGTAGAATTATTTGGAGCGGTATGAAGCAATGCACTCTGATGAGCCCTCCCGTGTGAACACTGTTACATTGAACCTGGAAGGAGACGCCACGGAGTGAGTGGTATCACTCCATGATGAGAGTCCTCTGAGCTGATGAATGTGGACACCCTCATGCAAGAGATGTGGTACAGATTTGAAGACCCCATGGAGGCCCACCAAGCAGAGGCCAGGATCCACTTCATTCAGTAGGGGAAGTGGCCAGTTGTGGAGTACATTCAAGAGTTTTTCAGCCTGGTGGCCCACCTGAGAGGATGGCCTGAGCCCCTACTGGTCTACCAGTTCCAGGACAGCTTGAACCAGGAGCTGTACTATATCTGCTTATCCCAAAGGGTGCCTAACAACCTCCTGATACTAGCTAGCCACTAATGTGGAACTAGACCTGATGGACTACCGGTAGCATGCGGCACACGAGAGTCTCCCCCTCTGGGTAATCAAGAGATACCCTGCGGCCCCCAGGGACAAGGGAGGTGTTCTCCTAGTCCCAAAGGAGAAACCCTGCCGAATCCCAGGAGCCTTCTTATGATATGGGAAGGAAGCCCCCAAGACTGCCCTGCTCCGCATCTGCATCATGAACCCTGACCTGGCCGAAGGCAAAGAAACCACTGACAAAGCTGAAGGAAAAGATGCAGGTTGCATAGCAGGTCCTGGAGGACTGTCCCCAATCCAGTAAGGGTTAGGAACTCCAACCTGGTTTGGTCTTCTATGAAAGCGATACTGAGGGGGAAGAAAACCCAATGATAAGTGGCATCATCATCCCAATGACTGCCCAAGTGGAAATCTGCTGCCCTTCTTGGGAGTAAAGGGCACCCTCATGGCCCTATTAGACCCAGAGTGCACCCAGTGCCTGACCAGTTTGCCGATGGTGGAAAAGTTGAGGCTAAGACTCAGGAAACTAAGGCAACCCATGGAATTTGAACAGCTAGATGGTTCTTACAGGACGGGGGGGGGTGTGTGTGCCAGCATCCTGATAAATAAGGTCTTACATAAACACTTGTAACAAGGGGTGCTCGTGCACCTTGATGATATTTTAATTTTAATATTTGAATGGGTTTTGGTCCCATTCATGCCTCTTTAAAAAAGCAGCATAGCAACTTGGCTGCACTACACTCACTGAGGAAAACTAGCCCAGCAATTCTTCTCCTGATTTTATTTTAATTGGTTAATTTATAGACTGATTATATTGTTTTAAATATTGTGAAATTCCCTTGAATCAGATCTTAATGTATCCCAGTTTTTTTTAAGAACCTAGTGTGGAAGAACTTTTCTATGTAAGCAATAGGTACTGTGATGATTATGTAAACAGATAGACACCTCTGCTTTGCCAAGTTGCCTCCATGCTAGAAATAGCTCCATCCTTTTTACCACCGAATACCTTCTAGAAAACC